ACAGGAGTTATTCATACTGGTTAATTATGCCTCCTAGAAGACCTAATTACCAAGTCAATCTCAAGCAACTTGTCACATTCCAAAACAGTGCAGCCAGGTTTCAGTTACTAAATATAGTGAATATATGAAATTAAACAGTTCTGTTTTTTTATGATGGTTGGTTTATATTAGTTTGTAGTCAGATTAGAACATATGTGGTTTTCATAACATCTAAGTTTTCAAAGTCCAGTTTGATGTGCTTACTAAAGGAACAGGTTTCTAGTCCTCTTATTGTTTCTGAATGCCTATAGAGCTTCTTTTAATGTATATTATTTAAAAGCACATGTCATTTTATTGTAAAATATTTTGTATTATAACAATATAAGTTAAATTAAGTAATAAAATTCCATGATTCTATCATCTAGAGATAATTTCAGAGATTATTTCACTCTTTATTTTTTCTATGAGTATATTTTTTCAAATTATACTATATATTTGAAAATTTCACATAATATATGGTAAACATATTCTATCTTGTAACACATCTTGACTATATAAATCATAGAGCACTTACCTATTGTTGACAATATTTGTTTTATGTCTATACGGTTATGAATATCTAGGGTTTATGAAGCATGTTATCAGTATCTTACAACTTACCATGCTATTTTTCTCTATCTGTAGCAATTTTACTAATAAAAATATCCTAAAAGACACTAGAAGAAAAAAAAAATATATATATATATATACATATATATAATTGGTGGTATTTGTGCTCAAAGTGCATACATAAGCTTATACCAGTTATGGGAAAGCATTAGATATACCCAAATTGAGGGACAGTCTACAAAAAATGATCAATCAGTATTCTTCCAAAGGGCAAAGTCATGAAAGACAAAAGCTGAGCAAACAGCCTGAGAGAACTTATGAAGAAATAACTAAATTCAGTGTGTGATCATGGAAAAGAAAGGATAGTGGAAAACCTGGCCAAATTTGAGTAAAGTCTGTAGTTTAGTTGATAATATACCAATTATGAATATCCTGCCCTTGCTCATTGTACTGTAGTTGTATAATACATTAACATTAAGGGAAAGTAGGAATAGCTTTTATGCAAGTCTAAAATTAATTTTTAAAGAAGTTTTAGGAGAAAAATTTTAAGTTTTGTCAAGAGGTGTCTTTAAATTGCTTTCTTTTTAATTCTAGCACCAAGGAGTAGCATTTTTGCTGGCAGAAATGGCAATGAAAGTTGAACTAGCTAGATTAAGTTACCAGAGAGCAGCTTGGGAGGTTGATTCTGGTCGCCGAAATACCTATTATGCCTCTATTGCAAAGGCATTTGCTGGAGATATTGCAAATCAATTAGCCACGGATGCTGTGCAGATTTTTGGAGGCTATGGATTTAATACAGAATATCCTGTAGAAAAACTAATGAGGGATGCCAAGATCTATCAGGTAAGATTAAAAATGATTTTTTGTTGCTTATTGGGGGATAGAATATTCATAAATAATAGATTTTTTATTATTTAGAGATTTTATGCCACTAGTCATATAAAACTCACTATTATAGATGACTGAACTACTTTTTAGAACCAACCTGAACAAAAAAGAATGTTATTTTTGATTAAGTATAGGACTAGAGAGGAACTAGACTAACAAAGTAAATAGTGCAGACATATATATCTGGATCAGTGTTCTTTAAGTATTAACATCTTAACTAATTATACCCCACATTTTGCTCTCCCCAAAAGTATGCATGCCATTTAAAATTATGTTGAGTCTTGCCTGATTACTCAGATTCATTAAAACCATAGTTGTAGTCAGATGCCACCATGAGGCGACAGTGATATTTGATTTCTAAATTAAATTTGTGGTTAGAAAAACTTAGGTATAATTTAGCAAATAAGACAAAAATGGACATCTTCTTCATTCATGGCTTAATTATAAATAAGACATGCTCCTTAATATTCCTTCCCTTGTTGCCTCACCCCCACCAAATTGTTTGACAAATCCAGTCGTTTGAAATCTTGAGTGGAATTAGAATGCTAGAGATGAAGCTGGGGGAAGTGGCACATTCCTGTAATCCCAGCAGCTCGGGAGGCTGAGGCAGGAGGATCCAGAGTTCAAAGCCAGTCTCAGCAAAAAGCTAGACACTAAGCAATGCAGTGAGACCCTGTTTCTAAATAAAAAATACAAACTAGGGCTGAGGATGTGGCTCAGTGGTTCAGTGTCCCTAAGTTCATCCCCTAGTACCTCTCCAATCACCCCCCAAAAAAGAATTCTAGAGATAATATGTTAGACATACTGCAGCCTCCCATTTAAACATGAAAAAACTGAGGACCAGAATTTGTTCATATCCAAAATCAGAAGTTTATCTGGTAATAGTCTCCCTTTCCTGAGGCTTGTAATTATTATGTTATTATCAATCATTTAACTTTTCTCTACCATCTGAGAAAATGAACTAACAAATGGCTAACTAGGATTAGAAACTTAGAATGGAAGTGAGTGCTTACTACTTGGAATATGTAAGTGACCAAAACCAAATCCCCCCTCTTTGTTTCTTTTAATATCTCTGTGCTTAAGAAGCAGGAGGGAAAAAATTAGGTTTAATATGAAGAATAGAAAATTCCTGAAAGTGACTGGATAAGAAAATTCAGAAAAGTTGAATAGGTATTTCAGCAATTTTAAACTTCAGTTTTCCCAAATTTTTTGAAACATAAATATCCTCTTCTTTGATATTTGAAGACTTTTTCCAAAGTTTGATAAAATGATTTTAAGCTATTCTTACAGGTTTACAAAATCAGGTTTCAGACCCTCTTTATGCTACAGACCCTATATATAGTTTGATTCAGTTTAGTATTAAAATGAAGCTTCTATTGTTGTCCACATATTGAATAAATGAAGATATTTATGTACAAAAGATATTTAACCTAGTTTTATATTTTTCTTACAGATTTATGAAGGTACTGCCCAAATTCAAAGGCTTATTATAGCTCGTGAACATGTTAGCAGGTATAAAAATTAAAAGAGACCTCTACAGAAACGTGGTTAATCATTGAATAATTAGAATACAATCTACTGTTTATGTTTCAGAAAAGAGAAAGGGCTTTAAAATAAGTATTCTTATATAAATCTATACCATTGATTCTAATGTTAGTTTGCACTTTTGTTTAACAACTCTATGATTTCCCTTTTTTTCAGATAGATTTGGTTTCATTACAATTATGTGTTGTCACAATGTTGTGATGGTGCACACCTATAATTCAAGCTACTTAAGAGGCTGAGGCAAGAGGATCACAAGTTTGAGGCCAGCCTCAACTTAGTGATTTAAATTAAATATTTAAATTAAAGAAAAAATTTTAAAAGGGTTGGGAATGTAGGTTGACTTTCCTTGCCTACCATGTGTGAGGCCCTGGGTTCAGTCCCCAGTATTGTAGGTCCCTTTGTATCACTGTACTTGAATTATATTAGCCAAGAAAATTACATTTGTCATTTGATGCCTTAAAGAAGCAGAAATACCTTGGAATTTTATTATTTTCCAGTGATATAAAATTGGGCCTATGAATTCAAATATGCCCAAATTTACATTGAGAAAATATTATAGGATCTGGATAACATCAAACAACTTGCCAGCAACTTTGAAGATTTAATGGTATTATGTATTAAAAGTGTTTACAATTTGAAACGTACTTGCCTTCATTTCTGCACAATAATAGCCAAAATTTCAATATTCATATTTGCTCATTATACAACTATGAGAAATTTCTTGAAAATCTTTTTAATGATGACCTCATGTTTTACTTGCCTTATTTAAATCAATAAAATTTGCCCTACATTATTTTTATGACTGTTGAACTCTAGGTAACCTTTTGTTTATCATGTACAATCTTATTCATGTACATGCATTTT